AAACCCTTGTTCGTGCCTTATATTCTAATTTCGTATGTTCCTAGGATGAGGCTCGTTGTCACACCATTAGCACTCGCTCCTACCTTATAGGGAAATACATTACTATAGATGCAATCTCTATAGCTAGAGACTTTGGCTTAGATCTCATAGAAGAGGACAACAAGAAAGAACATATTGACATCGACCTAGAGCTAGGCAAGAGTGTCAACATCCTAGATCATCATGAGTGCATTGTTTCCGCAACAGCATGCGGACCAACTTCTCTCATATTATCTTTAGTGAGCTAGTGGACACTATAAACAACATTCCTTCAAAAAGAATTATCTTATATATATGGTTGTCTCATTAGCCATTTTTTTGTCAAAGTGGGTATCAACGTCTCTCAAGACATTGATATTCCCCTATCCTTTCCCATTGATCTCAAATCCCTTCGTAAATTGGGATGAGATTAAGTTGGTAATACTTGGCAAAGGAAGGAGAAAAGAAGGTGATGTGCCAACATATTAACAGCAACTTCAACTCTACCACCGCCACATGAAGATGTAATGCAATATGTTGATGATAAAGCTAACCATCTTTCTCCTGATGAGCCTCGAGATGGTGGTGAGGATTTTGATGAGATGTATCTCCCTCCTCATCTTCGGATGATGATAGAGATGTTCAAACATGATATTTGTGACTATGTAGTAGCATCTCACCGAGATTTCCTCCTAACAGTTATCACTTGAGTCTCACGTCATAAAGATATCCTCCCAACAACTCGTTCTTCAGTCGATGTACATGGACTCCCGACGTGATTTTCACATGGTTTGACACAGTGACAGATCATATTGACACGATGCGAGTAGAGTGGAAGCCCCCACTTGTGACTTCATTTTTTTCTGTTCTTCATCGTCAGATGTCAACCCTTCTCTTCCGTCAGATGTTTTATCAACTTTATGCTTGTTGGTTGCCTCTTAGACGCTTTAATGGATTTTTGAATGTTTTTGGATATTTGTGGATGTTTTTGTTTTTACATACTTTGCTATGTTGAGATTTGATTATTGACGTTTTCGATATTTGGATAGTTGGATATTTTCTATGTTGGATATTTGATTATATGCACTTGATATTTTGCATATTTATGGTTTGTGACATAGTTATCTCTTTGATTATGACCAAATTTAATCATTTATGAAATTTATTGATATTTGACTGACTCTATTTGACGGTTAATCTTCAAGTTTACGCTTGACATATTGTTTAAGTTTGCGTTTTTTATTTTAAAAGAAGGGAGAAATCTTAAAGTAAGAGGGAGTACTCTTTCGAAAATCTTAAAATTTTTCAAATGTTTTGTTATATAAAAAATGGGAGATTATTGAACATACTTTGATATTTTGATATACCAAAAGTAATTAATTTTTTAAAGAAATTTTAAGATTATATTAGATTCGATCATTCGAATATATAAACTCTTTCTAAGGTCGAAAACTTCATTTTACTCTTTACTTTCTTGAAATTTTGAGTCATGTACTGTAAATAATTTTGGAACAAATTTTCTAAGGGTTTCGTACTTCAATCAATATTGTTCATGTGGTATCGATGAGCATCGATGCCAAAAGCTTAAAATTATATAATAGTATATATACTGCTAAACACAGTACCGATATTGTCTATAGATTTGACAAAACAGTAAGCATATTTGGTACCGGTACTCGTTCATTACCGATACTAGTTATAACAGTAATATTAATACTTTAAATGGTTGTACTGATACTACCCTTATATTTTTTGAAAATTACAAATTTCAGTATGCTATTTTGGTACCGATACTTTGTCCAGTATTGATGCTACTGATAACAATATTATCAATACCCCTATTTCTCAAACGACTATATTTTGTAATTAATATAGGTAGTACCGATATTCCGAGCGTCTAAGTAGCATTTATTATGGAAAAACTTCATCCCAACAACTATATTAATTCTCACAACTATCCAAACGACTAGAATTAAATGAGGGAGTATAAAAGCAATTTCAAGTTATATTGAAGACAAGAGATCATAAAGAAAGCAAAGCAATGAAATAGAGCCAAAAATTCAAGTCAACATTCTCAATATTTTTTTTGCTTTCAAGAACACTTGTGTATTCTGTTGTTTCATTCTCTCAAGTGTTTTATTTGTTTTGAATTGTGCAAACACACTCCTTGTAAAGATTTCTTTAAGTTTTTTATTTGTAATTTCTTTTTGGGAATGGTTATACAGTTGAGACTTTGAGGTATAAGTCTAAGTGTGTTGTAAGGTTACCCCTTGTCCTAAAAAGTTTTAACAAATTAGTGAATTTGTTGAAATCTTTAGTGTGGAAGATAAGGTAGTGGATTAAAATTTTATTGAGGAAGTTGAACCACTCTAAAATTGCTTGTGCCAATTTTTCATTTTCTTGCAAAAAAATCTTCCATCAAATTTTTAATTACCAATTCACCCCTCGACTATTTATATATATATATTATAGGGTTAAGATCTACTTACACAATATATAACTCTTTAGTTTTATATAGATTTAGTACCGTTGGATTAGTGAAAATAGATGGCTGAGATTGATTCCTTATTTTTTCAGTGAATATCTTATCATTTTCTACTGTTAATCTCAACCATCCATTTTCACTCATCAAACGGTCTTAAATCTATGTAAAACTGAAAGAGATTTACATTATGTACCATGATCCTATCCTTATATATATACTTACTTTATTTTATTGGTTATTTATTTATATATTTTCAAAGGCCTTCTTCTGAACAAAAAGTGGTGCTACGCCTTTAAACAAATCAAAAAGTCGAAACTTTGATTTATTTATTTTTCTGTGTATGACCGAATAAATGTGTAGGTTAATAGGTGTGTAATCGAGCCGTGAGATTGAACTTCTTCTGAACAAAAAGTGGTGCTACGCCTTTAAACAAATCAAAAAGTCGAAACTTTGATTTATTTATTTTTCTGTGTATGACCGAATAAATGTGTAGGTTAATAGGTGTGTAATCGAGCCGTGAGATTGAACCTGAATATTGATAAGTTTGAGTTCGTTTTAAAATTTAGGGTTTGATATTTAAATTGTGTTCAATCAAATATTTATTAAAATTTTAAAATTTGATTAAATTCGTGAACGGTCCAAGTAAGGTATTATAATATTCAAATTCGACTTGATTAATAACTCAAACAAATTCGACAACTACCCAATCCTATAAACTTCGTTTGGACTTCGATTAAGTTGGTTTCAAATACATTTATAGATTAACTAATAGGGTAGTACATAAACTTGCCCATTGGTTTTTGCATGAGGACGTTAATTGTCCATTCGGTTTGAATAATCTGAATTTCATTTATTGAATTATTTTGGAGGTAGTTTTAATTATTTAATTTAAAAGTCTTTGATGGAGGATTTCTCGTAGTTTTTTCTCTTTTTCTTTAACTGTCATTAATCTTTTTTTTTTATCTTTGTAACTGACGATGACATTAGTCTTATGTTGGTCACCGATTGTCGATATTTATTATTTTCCTTTATTTTACTATAATGTATCTTTGTTTTTTTTTTCTTGTTTTAAAATTTTTAATAATCATGTTTTTATGACACATTTTCATCTGCCTTTTATGATATGTTTTTGGTTGTTCAGTTGTTATTTTTATTTATATTTTTCTCATGGTTGGATTTGACATCTCCATGACTGATCCAGATGACACTTATTTGATATCATGTTGATATTCCCTGTATTGTACTCTCGGATTGGATTTGGATATGCGATTTGCATTCGTGGATAGTTTTTTCAAGTCTATTGACTATAATTTAGGGTTTTTCGGTGGTCTTTTCGATGTAGTCAGATATGTTCGTGTTTACCTTTTGTTTGAGTTTATTTGGTTAACTTTTTTTAACCTTAGTTATTATATAATCTTAAATTGCTAACTTTTTTTTGTGTAAATGATTATAAGAAAAAATCCTTATTATGTGTTTAGTTTACGATTGTGTTGTAAACCTTCATTACAATTTGAATATTTACTATTTTTAATAAAACTAACTGCTTCTATGAAAAATATAGGGTAAAGTACATAAATAGTCTCCCGACTATAGGATACTACTCTGTTGAGTCCCCTGATTATTAAAATTTATAAAATGGTCCCGTGACTATAGGGAGTTGCTTTGTTTGTCTCTCGACTATTAAAAGTTACAAAATGATCATTCGATATTCATTATGTTCCAAACTCGTTCTCTTCCGTTAAAAAAATGGCAGCAGCCTGAATTGGATGTTAAACTACTGACTGATATATGATAAAATATGATATCATAATCTCAAACGACTATCATATCTCAGTCAACATGTTAACGTCCAACTCAGACGACCATTAATTTTTTAACAAAAAAGGACGAGTTTGGAACATAATGAATAGTCGAGTGACCATTTTGTAATTTTTAATAGTCGAGGGAGTCAACAAAGCAATATCCTATAGTCGGAGGATCATTTATGTACTTTACCCAAAACTATAAAAAGTCATCGATCTAATTTATTTTTTTTAAAGAAAAATATCTCTTTCATTCTTGATTTATTGTTCCAGCCTAAATTTGGAATATAAACTGCAGTTTTGATGGGCGTGAAAACTAAAATAAATTAAAGTCCAAAGATATGTGACGATTTTAAAGTTAGAAACACAAGATTTTCAAATAAATAATAATAATGATGCAAAAATGAATTGTTAATGCTTTGGAATTTTATGAACATCAAAGCTACATGTGAGAAAAAATTGACGGGTACGACAGTATTCTTGAGGCAGAAGGCCCACCACATTAAATTCGGAAGAACAATTAAAGGATAAGGAAATTCACAAGTTTCAAACCTACCACAATAAGCATATGAAATTTCCGGTTTAGTCGTTCATTTTCACCACTAATTCAAGTTGCAGAAAAATCCAACTAACATATTCAAAACCCCATAAATCCAAGGGAAAAAGAATTTCTATTTCTATGTCAAAAAAATGCCTTACAGGTCGAAGAAATTGTTGAAATGGTCTATTGATGGTGTAGTAGGAGATGGTATGAAATAAGGTGAAATGTTAAAGCTTGAAGGACTAGGCATGAAACTACCTTCTATGAAATTCTTATTTCCATGAAGAACAGGGCTCAAATCATGGAAGAAACCGATTGAGTTTGGATCGGACGGTGGTGAGAAGAAGCTTGGTGATATTCGAGGCAGTGAGGTTGGCCCAGGAGACAAAATCCCCGGCAGGAAACTTGTTCTTTCAACTCCTGGATTCACCTTTATGCCTTCCACAAACCCATAGTTTTCTTCATAAACCTGTTGTTTTTTCCCTTCTGTAGCTGGCTTCGTTTTCTCTATTGTAGCGAACCTGGCTGCCGGCGATATTGCACCGCTGCTTGTATTGTTGAGTATCGGGTGATTGGATATCAACGACGAAGATGACGATGTCGAGCCTGTGAGGCTTTGCACTAGGTTCATGAAGTCGCTCGGGTTTGTATGGATCACCTTTGGTGACACAGTGTAGATGATAACCGGAGGCCTTATCTGTGTTGTTGGTTGTTGATGCACTGACTGTGGTGCCAGTGGAGGTTTTCGGATCTGGTACGAGTCTTTACGAACCTTCAAAGGTGACGGACGTGGCCCTTGAAGTTCTTTTCTGGGGGATCTACTTGTTGGAAAAAATGATGAATCCATGCTGAATTTTGAACGAAGGTTTAGAGAATTCAATGAGAGAGGCGAATGAGTATGAAGATGAGAAAGAAGAGAATTAGTATTATTGTATTTTCCACCTAAGACAAGAGGGGGACAACAAGTATTTAAAGAGAGCAAGTCAATGGAAATACAGCGTTTAGTTTAATGTGGCAATCAAATGATTTAGTAAACTTTGGCTACTTTCTATGGATATGTTTTAGAAGAAAAAGGCGTCTGGTTTCGTGGTTTAGGAATGTTTGAAATTGTCCAAGTTTTTTTTCTTCTCCTTGTTCTTTCAAGGAAGTGGAAGCAGTTGTAAACCAAGCGACTTTAGTGGTTAAATGATTTATTGTTATCTTTTAAAGTTCCGGGTTCGACCATCGTCTATACTAGGGATATTGGCGTTTATTATCAAATAATTGAGAGGTTTTGAACATATACAACCTTGTATTCACCCTGGATGTATAAAAAAAAATTGGAAGTGGTCATTGCTATTTCAACATAGCACTGGTGACGTAGCTTCTACATGTAATCTAATTTTCATGATTGTTAATACCCTAAATAGGAAAAATAACACTTGAAAAAGTCAAGATTATCAAATGAATTCAAAAAGTTTCACATTTAGTTTAGGCTATATCAAACTGTTGGTTACCAAAATTATTAAATCTTTTCTATTTTAGTCATCAGATTGTTTTTTCATAAATTTCATCACTACTTTGATCATTGGCCTTTTTAAAAAATTAATAGAGATTATGATGTGACTTAATATAATAATAGTTTTAATCTTATAATGACCTTAAGGGGATTCAGACCTAAGCAATGCTTAATCGATGAACTAAGCCAAGCATATGTTACATGATTGACAAAATACTATTTACCTTAACCTATGATTGATACAAGATTCTCAAGGAAAACATAGAACTAGATTGGAAGGATTCAAACAAAGGACATAAGCAAGGATTTTTGTGGGGCATTTTAGGGTTGCTTAGGCCACCAGACTTGTCCTGGTCCGTGGAGAATGTTAATAAGTCATGCAGAATATCTCTATGTTAAATTGAATATCATCTCTGGTTTGAATAAGGTTGGATCTTTGTAAATAAGATGGGATCTAATTTGAATTATTGATGTGATTTAATCTAAGTAGCTAGATGTAAGGGGACTCAACTATAAATAGAGAGGCTCTCCACCTCATTTGTAATCAATTAATTTATTTCATTATTTCAGAGTAATACAACTTAGATATTTACTCTATTTCTCTCTTATCACTTTGTTCCTAGTTTCTTAGCTTCTTTGTGTTTTGTTGCCTCTCGTGGTGGCTTCATAGTTCCGACAGTGTTTATGCTTCCACATATTGTTTAACCTTGGAGATTTTTTTCGTCGCTTGGTGAGCTTAAGTTCTCACAAGGATGTGGTGAAGGCTTACTTACGCTCATTCAACTGAGAAAACTTCTAAGGTCACACAAATAAGCTAGTCAAAATTCTAGCCCCATGACAATTGGTATCCAAGCTAGTCGATCATTGTTGTTACAACGAGTGTTCTGAGCCTATTTTGGGAGAGATGGCGCAATAAGAAGATGGTGTTCCAGAAAGGAGGGCGTGAAGAGCCATGATTGAATTGTGCTAGGGAAATCGAGTTTGAAGGAAAACTCAACATCATTGGAGAAGAGGATAGTGAGACTTTAAGACTCTGGGGAAAAGGCTAAGGGGATCTAGGGTGTGTAGTCACATTTTGACAAGTTGGAGTCTATAAAGAACCAATTCAAGGACGATATGCAACATGTTACGATTTGGATTGGAAGATGGTCTAGAGGAGTGATAATGTCGAGGCCGAGGTAGTGGCTTTGAGGAAAGAGATGGATGAGATCAAGAGTGAGTTGTTCATTTGCAAGACTGCAATGGGTGAATGAGGAGCTTTCAAGACCTTCTTAGAGGGACTTAGACTAGGGACCAAGCTCATAGTGGAGCAATGAAGTGCCTAGAGTCTTTCAGAGGCCATAGTTGTATTTGAGTCATTGACCGAGTTTGCAAAAGATAAGTTAATCAACATAGAGTCATCCAGGACCATGCCTAGAGATTGCAACAAAGATAGGGGAGACCATGATGAGGGACAATCAAGAGGTGGCAGAGAAAGCTCTTCAAGTGGCCAGGAGGAGCCATCGACTTATTATAGTCGAGGAAAGCTATTGGGGAATCATGGCAAGGCAAAGTTCACGTCAAAGAAGAAGGGGAAAACAAACCTTTGAAGTGTTACTTCTTTGATGGTCCCTATTTGATAAGGGGGTCTCCCAAGAAGAATCGCCTTGCTGCCATCGTCCAGAGAGAAGATGAGCTAAAACAATAAGTAGCGAGACCCGATGTGAATGTGAGTGTCAAACCAATAAAGTCGAGGGTAAAGAAAAGGAAACAAATGAAGTGCTATTGATGTAAAGGGCCACATAAGTTGTAGAGATGCACGGATTGAGTCAAGTAGTCTAAGAAAAAGGACAAGGTCGAGAGTAGCTAGCCTACGAGGCTTGGTTCGATGGTGTTTGTTTTTTTCCAATGAGAGTGGAGATCGATAGCAAAAAGGGTTGTTTAAACTATCCAATAAGGCTTCCAAGGAACATGCTTAGGATGTTGGTGAGGAAAATAACATCACTTTGGAAGCTAGAGTTGGAAGGGTCGAGGGAGCTCGAGCCATTGAGGAATATTGCAACCGTAGAGACAACACCCATAGGGAAGGTGGAAAAGAAAGCATTAGACTTCAAGGAACAAGGGCTGATGCAATTAGAAGCACCACACTTCATTATAGAAGGGTCGATGCAAAGGGCGTAAAATTTTATGGATAAAAAGAGGGTTGATGCATTTTAGAGTAAATACGACCGATGAGAAATTGACAGAGGTATATCTTAAACATGTTCCAAGTGTTTTTCAGTTTGATTTTCTATCTTTGATGAGTGTAGGTTGAGGTAGACCTAACCATCAATACAAAGTAGCCAAAGGTTGAAAGGGATATGCGAGACCTTTTAAAGTTATAAGTGGCAAGCTGGACTTACCAACAAATCTGAGAGTTCATCTAATGTTTAATGTCACTGATCAAGCCTTTGACGTAGAACCATGTGGATCAAACTCAAGGAAAATCCAAAGGAGTAAGATGGAGTTCCTACGATTGAGATGTATGCAACGTTGCGACACATTATGATGTTACATAGCGGCCAAAGCCGAAGAGAGTAGTCCTTGTAGGGGACATGAGCAAGTCGAGGTGTCGAGTAATAACCAAAGTGGTCCAGTCTAAGCCAGCTCTAGCGGAGCGACAATGGCATCATTAGATTTGGTGGGGGGAGAATGTCATGGCCTGAAAGTCATGGTTCGAGACATGAGCGCTGAAATCCACCCAATAGGTTTTGTAAGGGCATTTTGGGCTTGCCTAGGCCACCACACTTGGCACAATTCTTAGAGAATGTTGATAAGTCATGCATATTATCTCTAAGGTAAATTGAGTATTATATCTAGTTTGAATTTCGAATAGAGATATGGTTGATCTTTGTAGATAAGATGAGATCTAATTTGACCATCGATGTTATTTAATCTAAGCAGTTAGATGTAGGAGGACTCAACTATAAATAAAGAGGTTCCCCACCTTATTTACAGTCACTTGATTCATTCCATTATGTGAGAGTAATGCAACTCAAGCATTTACTCTATTTATCTCTTGTCATTTTCTTCCTAATTTGTTAGCCTCTTTGTGTTTTTATGCTTCTCGTGGTGGCTTCATAGCGTCGATAATATTTACGCTTCCTCATATTGTTCAACCCTAGAGGATTTGTTCGTCGTTTGGTGAGCTTAAGTTCTGACAAGGAGCACGAACTCCAGTGACCTTGGTGGTAAAGGAATTATTGTTTTCTTGAGGTCCCGGGTTCAAGCACCAGGAATACCAAGGCTACAAGCGTTCAATGTCAAAAGGTTGAGAGTTTGAACAGATACTATCTTGTACTTACCTCATATTATAAAAAAAAGTTCTCACAAGGAGGTTGTGGAGGCTTACTTAGGTGTCCATTTATTCGAGAAAGCTTCTAAGATCACACAAATCAATTAATCGAAACTCTAGTCCCGTGACATATAAATAATTGATTTAAATAAAAAAAAATGAATTTACGTAATGAATTTATATAGATAATTTTCTCTATTGATAAAATATAAATAATTTTTTTTTCATGGACGAAAACGTCGAAACTTGAATCGTCATCAAGTTTTGTGCATTAAATCCACTGGCTTATTGGCCTTCCTTGGTTGCAGAGATTGGAGATATTCCAGACCAAGTTGTAAATATTATTTATGTATTTTCTCAGTATGATTTTTATTTTTATATCTTTATTAAAGTTTTTTTAAATCTAAACAAATAAAATTTTCAGGTCTTGAAAAATATAAAACCACATTTTCATAAAATTTGGCTTTATCATTTATTTCTTATCACTTATCAAAATTTTCATCAACTTCCTACTTCGCTAATTGTGGTTAGTTAAATGTTTATTTTTTTATTAATCAGGAGTGAATATATATATAACGTAGTATCTATTTAAAGATTCTCAATCATTTAATATTGAACGCTCACATCCTTACATAAATGATGCTCGAACTCAGAATCTTAAAAAATAATAACAATTCTTTAATCATGAATAAGTTCATGATATAAAATTTATCAATTTTAATTACTAATTTTCTTTTAAACGTACGTACAACTTTGGAAGGAACAATTACAGTCTGGTTAACTGTTAAAAATGTGCATTGAGTCAAATATTCAAAACACGTAGGGGTGAACGCTTGGTCGATCAGAGTTGAGTCAAAAAGTTTTGAGTTATTCGAGTTGATGAATTTTATTTTATAATTCAAAGTTGACTTAATTTTTTTTTGAGTCGAGTCGAATTTTCGAGTTTCTGTTAAATTTAATTATAAATATTTATAATATTATTTGATTTCAATTTAAATTGTTTTTATAACCATATACAATATATATATATATTTAATATGTGATATAAATATATGATACAGAGTGGAGACTCAACTCAAACTTAAAAATCAATCTACTAAACACTAAAATTTT